AAACCGTTACGTCGTATCACGTCAGCCGTATCACACGAATTTCCCGTGCTACGTCGATTCGTATCGCAATGCGATGTGCGTACAGGATGATAACGAGAGATAGGTAATTACTTAAAGTCCAGCAAAGTCCATTACATGTCCTATATACGGATTTGTATAATGCACTGTTACAAAGGAATTCGTACATAGAAAGATTGTTTTGTTGAAATATCTATGCGCCAAAAAAAATGCGACTTTCTTTTAATCATTATTATGTTTGTTGAGTGTGACACAGTAACGCAGTGATTGCAATTAAAGGAAATCATATCGAATAAATATTTGGTAGGACAAAATATTTGTGTTATAAACAAATTTGCCCCCGTCCACTCACTTTATTTAACTAAACTGACAACTGAAGTGTTAGTTGTAAGAGTCGCATTTTTTTTACGCATACTGTAAAAATTTAGCTAAATACAGATTTGAAAATAATTTTATTGAACTATCAAAATAATTGTGCAGGACACTGATTTCTAGCATATAAACATTTTTTCAGTGTAGCTCATTATGCTCAAGTTTCCTATATAATTATTTTGATTGCCCAACAGAATTATTTTCAATCTGTATAGAGCTAAGTTTTCAGATATTTCAGAAAAATTGTTCTTTCCATGTGCATCTTATAAAACGTGTCTGCAACCGAACGAAATACAGTAAATCGACACGGAAATACGACACGGGAACACTCGCTAGTCCTAGGATGCACGTTGTGACTCAATAAAATATAATCATACACAAATCTGAATTGAATTTTATAGTGGATTCTGAACATGTTTTCAATGAAAGACAGAAACGAATCAGAGCTTGAAACGCAAATCTTCGATTCATCTTCGTCCATAATCAAGTTAAATCGTTGCACCGTTATCAACCAGCTAGTGCCGCGTCTAATCTCGTAGTCGTTATAACTAATGTAAACCGATCGTATGTCAAGGCAACACGACACGAGAAACTGCAGAGTGTACACCAATCCGTGTTTCCCATATCGCTATTTTATTTTAAACATAACTTTTTAGCAAATAAGAGTATATACATGTACGTATATATATTTTAGTACACAACATAATTCAAATATAAGCTATCCGTCCATCTCGTGACGTTTCCCTGCAGTTATACGATAATTTCAAGTTATGACATTTTGTCGGGAGGAAATGCCGCTGGTGGCATAACAAATTGTAGGCTTAACCGCGGCGTTCGTCTAGTTCCTCGATACATCAGCGATGTCGACGCTTCTGGCCTTATGACGTGATACGGAAATACCGCCAGGACGAAGATATACGAGAATACGAGAGAGCGCGAGGACGAAGAGGTCGTTATCTCAATTAAATTGACCGACGCAGATTAGCGATATGAATTCTACCGCGTTCTAAATTTAATGCCACCACCTAGCTGCGCTGCGACGTAGAGAGCACAGCTTTGTTAAAAAAAAAAGGACAGTTGTGTATTTATGGGTGCGACAATTTTTCAAACCGGAATTAAACGGCAAGCGAGACTATCGTGTAACGTCGCCAAGCGTTGCATTCGCGTTCGCAAAGAGACGTGTCGAATCAACGTACAGCAGATTAATTTGGGCAATGGTCAGTGTCAACATTGTTTCATCATTTTACATCGTGGATACGCTAAATCTATGTGATATGAAAATGGAGGAATGCGACTAAAAGATGAGACTTTAAATGGTAAAAATAGAATGATAAATTTTTTTTTCATCGTCCGGTTCGTCGACGCTGAACTCGCGCTTACATATGTGCAAACGTTTAGGAGTTGTTGATGATGAATTTATTATGTTCGCCTAGTGCTATTCATTTATGGCTCGTTATTTCCTCAAGCGTAGTGACATGTTGCGATATGTGATGATTACCAACATTGCATGCAGCGCAATAAATTAATGGCTTTTAATTACTAATGGTTTTAAAGTAATATGAACGATATGCAGATGAAGATAATAGTAATAATTTTGATAAATTGTAATTTTATACGCATCGTTATTTAACCGGGAAACTTTTTCCCGACATGCGAGCGACGTGCAATTAAAAATGTATTTTTCATAAATAGACAAGCTCGCAAAAATAATCCACGTGTTCCTTTATTGATGTGTTTCATGTTACAAAATAATACGCGCCGAATATGAAGGACATCGAAAAAAAGATGAAAAAAAAATCACTTTACGAGTGACGAGTTATTGTCTACATATATATGTCATATCTCAGCAATATGTCAACGATAAATGCACTGACTAATATAATTATTTTTTCTTTTTTCCAAACTGCACTATAAGTGGAAATAACACTGATAAGAGGCTGTCAATTTTATCAGCACTTTAACAACGTACTATATGTAAAGTGATTGTAATATAACTCTCGCGTTTGCATCGACATTCCTTCATATCTTCGTTATATACATCCGTCAATACATCCGTTTTACATGCACTTACTTGCGCCAATGTAACATTTGTACCGTGCTAGAATTTTTCTCGAATAATAAATGTCTCGATTCACATGTAATTTCATACGAAACATAAAATCGACGTAAAAAGAAATGTATTCATAATCTAATAATTACGAATATAAACATGAAATGAATGGGAAGAGCGACAGAAACGGGTATGGGAAAGGCGCGCGTGGAGCACGCACCAATTACCACCTTCGAGATACGGTTGAAATGCAGCAGCATGCGATGCTGCTATTATGACAAAAACCTTCGTTGTTAGTAAGACAAGATAATTATTCCGCCGAGCTCGGCTCTTCGATCATTTAGGCGTGGCAACACATGTTCTCAGTTCAGCGCTATGCACGGCGTATATGCGAGGTATACCTATATACAGCGTGTCAGGACACGTGGGTACGGAACCTCTCCGGCTTGCCAACGGCTATTCATTTTCGCAACCCTCACCTCCGCCGCCGAGAGGGAGGGATTCCTCCCTACACAAATTATTCGATACGCCTCGTGAGGCCAAAACGAGTTAACGACGCCTAACGACGACGCGTCGCACGCATCGTGATTTTAATGGCGAAAATTATTTACCAACGGAGAACTATCTTTAATACAACTTTGCAGTGCGAAATTAGCCCCGATCGTAATTTCTGCAAACGATGACACTCTGTCGCGGTTAGCCGGCAAGAAGTTGCTTCGTAATCGCGCCGACAATGTTTCGCCTCGCGCGATCGTTACATAGTCAGTAATAAGGAATACATTTGTCGAGCTATGTATTATGCGTGTACGTACGAGTATATACGTGCATGTGTGCAAGAGACTACACGTGAGAACTAATACATACGTGTTACTTGAACGTTCGATCATTAACTACATTTTACTTTACAAACACTAACGGATTACACTTCGAGCCAAAATAACATCAAGAAAAAATGGAAATCAGCCTATCGTTATCATACAAAGATGAGAAAATACTGAACTATATCGAGAACACTATGGCTAAGCTTATACATATACATTAGATTTAAAAATAATACGTTTTTTCGTTTACTGTTAAAACATCTGTAAAAAAAAGCTTTTACATTTATTATCAGTTTAATATACCTACGTGTCGTCAGAAACTATAATTTAGCAAAAAACAGACGGATCTATTACAAGCTGAATATAAATAATATCGTGGTTATATCGACCGTAACTTGTGCAAAAAAAAGTATCATGTGTTTTTCAGCTGATATTTCTGGTTTTCTGTTCGTTATAATCGCTTCAGTGTAAAATGGAGTAAAAATATCAAACACGGACAGAAATTCCGGTAAAAACCATTGACGAAAATTCGCTCTATGCGCCATTCCTTATTATTGATTATGTGCTATGATATGTATTAGTTTAACACAAATTAGGGAGGAATGAGATACGATGTGCAACAAGCGCAGCGATCGAATCGTTTAATTATGCGCTCTTTGCTGATTCGATTACTTTCGTTTTACAATCGGCACGACACGTTTGTACCGTAAACGATACAAATGCGCAATAAATAATTCTAACTGTGATTGGAAGATCAGTTTCCCGTGTTTTACTGAAATGTTAAATCTAAGAAGAATGGCACACACGACATTCGAAACGTCCGTTTCATGGCTCACTTATTTATCAACGAGGTTACTTCTTTTCGCTTATCTCTCGGATAATTACCGATTTTTTTGCTCGGTACAACTGTTAAGTGATTTTTTTTTTATAACGGTTCCTGATATAGCAAAATGAGCTAGCTCGAAGAGGGAATCATTGATATTAGTGAGGCAATCTCGGATAACAGCTGCGACTTATCTATCTGCTTATGTCTGTGATCATTGACTTTGCTGTATCAATCTTAGCAAATCACTCGCGCCAATCGACTACTTTTTCACGTATTCAAACGCTGATTTTTTAGATCCTAAGATGCACCACATTCACTTGCGAATATCTTTCTGAATTTTCATATTTCATTTTCAACACACGCGCACACATTTAACGTCAACGTGGATACGCTCGCTTCAACTGAAAAGTTATGCATAATTTGGAACATATAGAGTTGCTGCGAAAATAAGTAACAAGTCATAAACGAATAGCATTAGACAAATGTACATATAAATTTATCAACAACTCCTAAATATTTACAATATGTAGAAGAGTTCAGCGTCGATGAATCGGATGATAAAAAAAATGTATTATTATATTTTATCATTTATGTCGATCAGTGTAGATTAACTTCAATCTCAATTTAACTTACCTTTTATTTTTTTCTAGTTCCACAAATTTAGAAAAAGATAAGTAAATTGAATTGAGATAAAATTAGTCTACATTGATGGAAACGTTAAACATTACAGTATCTTATATTTTTTATTGCACTCTCCAATTTCTATGTCACATGGATGTATCGCGCGATGTAAAACGATCGGAGCAATATTGACACTTGTCCAAATTAATCTGCGGATTTTTACTCGCAAGTGAACGTGCACGCATAGTTGCGAGATCTCTCCCGGAGAGTACGCAGGATCGAGAGCGCTCACCTGTAGATTTGGCGATCCTCGGAAAGAGAACTGTGACATGATGTGTCGGCCGCTCAGGGCCGTGATGGTCGGGCACCGCTACGCGATCATCGTTCCAGAAGTCCGCGGCATTCGCCGTGTGCGCCTCGCTTTCGGACGTAGTCACTTCGCGAATCGGTCACACTTCCGCTCTTTTTTTTTTTTCCTATCTTTTCTTTTCCTTTCTCTCACTAGCGCGCCCGGGACGAACGCTCACGCGGAGGCGTGAAAACCCTCTGTGTCGCGTGTCCAGCCACCCCGTAGCGGGGTGCTACTCGCGTCGACGGCACTCCCGTATGCCCGGTCGTCGCGACTGGCCGTCCAGCTGCACTCGAACCGGTTGAAATCGGTGGCGGTCCGCTGCCGGCATATGCACTCGCACTGTCACACGCGAAAACAAGTTGAAGCGCAAGGGCGACCGAGAAGTAGTTCTCGGTAGTGGTTCTGTTGTTGGAACTTCTAATCGTCGTTATCGTCGTCGTTGCGGGAACACTCGCGAAGCAGGTTGCGAAAGAAAGTGCCGCGAATGACAGCCGGCGATATATGGTCGTATCGCGGACCGCACGCACTCCGATCACTCTCGCGTTAGTCGAAGAGAAGAGGGAAACCGACAAGAAGTCCTCTTGAAGAAGGAGCGTGAGCTCTGCCGGCACACCGAAGGGTCACGAGTTGCGGTATAAAAAAAAAGAAGATTAAAGGGCACCAGAGCGCGCGACAGCGATGCGTGGCACTTGTCGTGGTAACGCGCGATGCGGTTAGTCGCGGACGGCTAGTTCACTCCGTTGATCCGATCGACGCGCCAGCTATGATCGGTCGCGACTATCCTCCGAATCGTCGTTTCTTTTCGACGGAATCCAGTCCTCCGCTCGGTGGATAGGAAGGCGGAGGTACATGGATCGCGGGCGCGAGCGAGACGGCTACGGTGAGGGGGAGCGAGAAGGGTAGATGGGATAGAGGGAGGAGGGAACGAGAACGAGCGAGCGTCAGAGGGACGGGATGGCAAGCTGAGCGAGGGGGAGAGGGGGGGACCCGAGAGGGAGTGAGAGAGAGAGAGAGAAAGAGAGAGGTAGAGTGGTAGGTTGAGCGAGGGTGTCGGAGGGACACCGCTGAAAAAGGAGAGGAATGACGGAGGAGGACAGAGGGAAAGCGAGAGAGAAAGAGAGAGATGGAGATGAGTGAGAGGGAGAACAGCGAGGACGATGTGAATCGCGCACACCGGCCGTCTCTTTTTATCCTCCGCGGTCCTTCCACGCAGCCGGTCGCCTCACGGCCTGCGCAATCACGCGCCTCGAACTCGCGAAAGAGAGGCCTGGTGTTCGTCTTCTTATTCCTCCTCTTCCTCTCCCGCTTGTAGTGCCGATCACGGCTCCTCCGATCGTGGCGCTACCAGATCGCGCGCACCGCAAAAGCGCCAAGTACGAACTGACGGCGGCGCGTGTTTCCACCGCGTGCACGCCCGCTTGCTGCTGACAACACAACAGTGACTAGGACCAAACACTATACTGTTGTTCTTGCTCCGTTTACTGCCCTCCCCCCCACCTGTTTTCCTATTTCTCTTTCTCTCTCTCTCTCTCTCTCTCTCTTTCAATGTAAGGCTTCTCCTTTTTCCGTGATGACCAACGTAAGAATTCACCTGTGCGTTTAATCGTTATCTTGGTGTTCACTTCTACGCGATTGTCAACAAAAGATGATTCGCTTCACGTTCACCGAGCGCGATAGGCACTGATTCGGTTCACCGTCAGTGAGCCTTATAAGGTCAACCCGATTTCGCGTACGTTCGCTCCTCGCTCGCGGAGGAACAAGCGTGGTCCGCGGTCTGTAAGTTGCCGCTGTACCCCACGTTCCGCGAGATGACGGTTGATCGCGGTGTCGTAGGAGGAGGCGACGGGTACAGTGCCGGTGGCGCTGGCGGTAACGATAGTATCACGCTAGTGGTGGTGGCCCGATGACGAGAGAAACGCTCGAAACTCGCCGCTGAGTCTAGTGGTGGTGATGGTGATGGTGGTGGCAGTGGCAGAGTCGTCGCCGTGGTTCTTTTCCTTCCACGGAAAGGGGGACGATTTTTGCGAGATGGTTTGCCCTCGGCGAGACGGGTGGGAGGGTCCAGGTCGGTACGGCGCGCGGTGTGGTGGGGGTACGGGCACCACCTCTGCCGCCGATGCCACGCTCTCGCCTCCACCTCGTTACCCGCGCGCGAATTCGTTCCGCGGGTAGCTCTCGTATTAGCACGCCGGGTGTCGTGCGTGGCTCTCTTCTCTTCCCGCACGGGTCGTCGGCATCCTACCTCGTCGATCGGGCACGGAGCCGGCGGTTAGCGTCGGCAAACGCGACAATAAAATATGGTGAGTCGCCCGTGGGGCTCGGCTAACGCAGCTCCCTGCGTTTCCCTCCCTTCAGCCGTCCCTTGTCGAGTCGTTGGTCGCCTCGTTCATCCGTCCTTTTCCCACCTTTCCTCTTTCCGTTTTTTGTCTCTCGCTCTTTCGCGCGACGGCCCGATAGTCCGCTCTCGCTCCCTCGTACCTCCTGATGCCCCACCGTAGGCGCTTTCTTCCCTCTTCGTTCTCGGCTTTCGTTCCCGTGTGGAGGGGATGGGTTGAATGAGACGGAGGGGGACGCGACCGGCCGAGATGCTGCCACGCTCCCGTATGGTGGGGCGAGAAGAGTGTGAGCGGTCGGTAGCGCTCGGAGGGGGTGAACGGAAGGTTGGCGGACGACAGGGGTTGGGTTGGGGGGGCACGGAGGCAGAAACTACACGACAATTTTAGTTCGATAGATCCCGAAGTTTAGCCTCGGCGGCGCTGCTTTACTTGCCGCTGACTTCTTCCCGGTAGTTTGTTCGTTGCCCTCTCTCCCGTTGCTGTCGACTGCTTCTTCCCCTCCTCCTCCTCGGACACGACCGCACACTCCGACCCATGTCTCCCACCATCCAAACCCTACCGTCTTCTTTCCTTCTCTTTCTTTCCTACTTCTCCTCCTTCCTCCGCGCGAGGACAAGATCGCCGACTACTTCGTACCCCTTCCTGTGCCCCGGAGTTAGCTCTGATGCCGCGCTACCTGCCACTCCTCCTTATTCTACGCACTACGCGACACTTGACTACACAAACTTCCGTCTCTCTCTTTCTGTCTTTACGCTCCTACATTCTATCCCTTTCTCTCGCCTCCTCTCTGTCTCTTCTTGCCCTTCGTGCCTCGGTCTCTCTTATTTCCACCTATGTCTCGCTCTCTCGTGATCCCGCTCCCACCTGCAGCGGTCGTTCGTCTCCCTCGCGCCTTTACATCGCGGAATGCACGATCGTCACTCCGGTGAGCGTATTACACGGACGGCGTTTACGCAGAGTACTATGTTCGTTCCGACAGTTTAACGCGACGATGTCGCGTGAACGTCCCGCCGTACGACCCGCCCGTCAATCATCTCGTCAGATTTACACCGAGATTTTTTCGTAATTTCGTTTCACACTGTTCCTCCGCAGAACTCGGAGTAATTGAACTAGCGAACGGAAACGTCTTTTTTTTTTAACGATGCTCGAATGGCCAATTCAGTTTGGATCATCCGATCGAGGCAACGCGGAAATCGTCGTGCACCTACGATATCCGAGCGGACACCAGTGTGAAATAATCACGATGATGCTGTCGAAAGACTTTGGCGAGAGTGTGTCGTGACAATGCTTTGCGCAATTCTTTCAAGAGAATTCGCCTCCTCGCGCGTACTTGTTCGTGCCCTTCCGGCACGACCGCCAACGAAAGAGGCGGATAGGAGCAGTTGAAGGTAGTGGGTCGCGAAAATATACCCTATCGTCTACGTTGGTGGGGATGCCTCGCGTGCGGAGAGGGAAAAAAAGGACTCGCCGATATTTTTCGCCCACTGATCGACGACGCGCGCACACGCTCGCGTACCTGCCGGCGGCAATATTTTTGCAGAGGGCGCGTATACACACACATACATGCTTACAAGGACGCACCCAGAGAACGCGCCCCACGTGTGTTCGTGCCCACCGGTGGTGGACGCAGGGGAGAGAAGCGCTGGAAAGAGAGAGAGAGAAAGAAAAAGAAAGAGTGAGAGGTGCGGGATAAATCGTGCCCCTACCACACTTCTTTCGCCTCCCCTCTAACGTGCCACGGTGGGTGCGGAGCTCGGCTTTTTTCCCCTCCGTGGGCGCGGACTAACCTCGCCCCGCCTTCGTCTCCTTCGTTCTCGATTCCCCTCCACCCTTTCACGGATGGTGTTGTAGCGCGGCGACGAGAGTGACTACCGCTCCGAAACTCGTGACGCCGTCGCCTCTCTCTCGCCGTCACCCCGCGACCGACGTGCACGGCACGCCGAGCTATCGCTTCGCGCTCTTGCTCGCCGTCGGAGCGACGGAGGAACCTCGTCGAGGGAGCGAGATCGCCCGTCGCTCGGAACGGAAGTGGGACGAAGAAGAGAACTGGCCAGCGGAAGGAGGAGGGGTACACACCGAGATGTGAAACATTAGTGTACCGTTTGTTAACACCGCGGTCTACACACAATCGCGCGCAAACTCTCCCTCTCCTCGCCCGCGTCCGGCCCCATCGCTCCCCCCCGTCGCTCTCCGCTTTCTTTAAGAGGGCGTTGCTGTTGGTACGTGCTAGCAAGGACAAGCGCGTGTGAGCGCCTTCCTTCTTCGTGAGTTCATCGCGGAATGCTGGCACGTAGGAAGTATCTCTCTTTCTCTTTTTTTTCCCTCAAGTCGCAGCTCCTTCCCCTTTTCTCGATGTCGTTTTCCTCTCCTCATTTCTTCTTACGCGCTTTAACTCCATCTTACCACCATCTTACTCCCCTTCCGTCCGTCCTTACGGTACCGACTTTTCGCGAATGCCGAATTTGTCGTGCACAGAGAACGGATCGACGTACTCCGCTTTAAGCTGCCACTCCGAAAACTAAGCTGCTGGCCGATTTCGCGCATCGATATTAAATTTTCTGTGCGCGCGTGTGTTTGAGAATCCACTCTGGTTTGGCTCTTGGAACGATTTGTGGCGACGATAGAGAACTGCAAAAGGTGACCATCTTTTATCGTAATATCACGAGGATATCGACAATAAATCGAGATAACATTACAAACATCGGGAGTTGGCTGTTCCTGACCACAATGAAGATCGAGTTGGATTGATATATAGCAACTGCAGCATGTGCATTGTACTACATCGTACTTTTTTTTGTGACAAACTTATCAAATTATTTACTAAGTGATTCGCAAACATTTCAACTGCATTGCGCGATTTTTTCTTACGCGTCTCATCGATGTGCAGAAATTCCATTGTCGATAATCGACCTATCGTTTCGATAGGTATAAATTCGTTCTACTTTCATCTAATGGAAGTGTATTGAGCGTTAGCTATCTTGTGATCTTGTTGGGCTTCCATCGTCTGATCGTATTTAGGCTTACATTCTTTAAAGTGTGTTATGTGTTCTTGTAGTGTGTCGCCAAGTCGTGATGTAATGTTATCGATAGTAAGCTTAACTCGAAAGTTGTCTATTACGATAGACACATTACTCAGTATCGTAGAATTTTATGTGGATGAATATTTTTTTATCATAGTTTGATTCGTGTTTTAAATCTCCAATAAAGATTTCAACGTTATAAGATTCGCAAAGGAAATACAATAATGATTAGTTGATTAAGATTTATTTCTTTCGTAGATTACGAAATGAATTTTTTTAAATGAATTTCTTAAGTTAAGTACAGGTTCAACAGAAATAATTTTATATAATTTTCACAATTGTCAATTACACATGTAGAAGATCCTTAAACAACAGCGTCAAACATTCGTGAATGCGTAATCAGCACGAAAGCGATGTAGACGTTAAGTGATGCGTTTGACAATTTGACAGAGTAGACACACAGAATGTTAGATGCGATGTAGATCAGCGATGCGTATCAGCGATGCACGCGAATGTGTAAAACATACCGCGGACACGTCGTACGTGATGACACGATACACACGTGTAAAGTAGACGTGTCCTCTTGCACGTGAATTGATCCGCCAAGATCTATATAGAAGCTGTCAGTGTCTTGACGATAACCCACAATTATAGATCGCGCGCGATAAGTAAAGTGCACGTAATACCGCAAAGCGAAAGGGACTCGTTGTTCGACATCGCTCAAGCAAACTGCGGCTCATCACGTCGCATGTTCACTGACAACTCGCCAATTATTCGCACGGAACTCATTATGTGTATATTAATCGACATCGCGAAAGCGATTCTCCCGAGAAAGCGAGCGGAACAGGTGCCTTGTACAATTTTAGTACATG